GAATTGTAATTATTTAAGAGTATTATTCAAATTGTAATTATCTACCATCGGTTCCAAAATGTCGTGCTAGTTATAAAGCTTTTTTTTTCAATAAAAAAAAAAGTATTTTTATAGTGTGATCACTCGGACTGGCATAGTGTTAGATTTAACCCAATATTTCAAATTAACTAAGAATAAAAAAGAAAAAAAAAGTCCTCTGAAATACAAGTTGAGAATGATTGTGAGAATACATTTTCAAAGATATGTGCCCCACTTGGTAGATATATAGTCCTTTTTCAGGAACAGACTTTTGATGGCTAATAAGTGCTACTTTGGTCTGAAGAACCAATTAAAATCGAAATTCCTCTCCATTGGTACAAAAGTAAATCTATACAAAACCTTAATCAGACCAATTATTCTATATGTTAGCGAGACCTGGACAATTAATAAAACAGAGGAAAATAGACTACTCATTTTTGAAAGAAAGATCCTTCGGTCAATTTTTGGAGCAGTTAAGGAAAATAATATTTGGAGAAGTTTTTACAATAAGTGAGATGTACAATAAATATAGATTACCTAATATTTTGAGGGTTATTAAGGCCTAGAGGATCAGATTGCTGGGGCACGTTTTTCGGCGTGAAGATTTGGATTTAGTTAAAAAAAACTACTTTTTCGAAAATTGGAGGAACTAGAAGAAGAGGGAAACCAGCTACAAGATGGTTGGACAGTGTTGAGAAGGACTTAAAATTGTTGGGAATAAACAGGTGGAAAAATCTGGCTCTAAGTCGCCCTGTCTGGAGGCAACTAATTGAGAAAGCCTTGGCCTGCATTAGGCTGTAGTGCTGAAGAAGAAATTTTTACATTAACTTTTATTTATTTTTCTTAAAGAAATAAGATACGTTTCACGACTTTTATATTATTCTAGCTCGTTGCGCTCACCAACCCCACGATAGCTACAATAATTTTTTATTTCTTGACCATAAATGGATTGTTACATCTAAATTAAAAAGTTTTCAATAGAAAGACCCAAAAGTATTTTACTGTAATCAAACATATTCTGCTTTATTGATTAAGTCTGTGATTCTATTAGAGCGAAATTTATACTACACCATTGCAACTTTATAGATAATTTTGTTTTTTTAATTCCCCCCCAGAGTTTATTTATTAATAGTGTGAAGAGTTAATTCATAATTAAGTTTTACAATTTTGCATTCATTATTTGTTGACTGGACGGAATTTTTCACAAAGCTTATAATAAAAGCAAAAATAAGTTATTTACAATTTAATAATTTTAAAATAGTTAATAAGTTGTGATACCGATTCAAATATGTTTACTATGAAATCTTACGAAATAAAGTAGTATCATTGAACTATTTTATGATAAAGAAACGTCTCTTTCAGTTTTGAGCCTTAAATTTGGAATATTAATCAAAATAAAAGATGTAATAAAAAATGTAGATAGATAAATATTATAAATAAATACTTTTACATTAGGGATAAAAAATATTTTATAGGTAAACACTTTTAAATTAGGTATAAAGAATATTTTAATTAATTTTATTCTATAAGATTAATTATTTTTATTTCCTACTTTTTTTTAGTTTTTATGCAATTAAATATTTTTTTCCTTGTTTGTTTGCAATATTACGGAGGAAGTTTTTAGAGATTGCTAATTATTGATGACATTATATATATAAAGTACTTAAACAATCATTAGTTAGCAATGTAATGAACAGCAATGCTGGAATTTATGCTTTTTTCAATTATGTCATTAATTGCTGCTTTTGTCCTGAGACTTAATAAAAAGTTTTGGGCTTATACAAGATAGTAGATAACCATATGAATTGAATGGTGTATGTTATTTATAATTTTTTTTCTCCGAAAACTTAGATGACCTCATTGACTTACATGATATTTTCTAATTTCGAAATTCATGAACACAAATTTCATAGTGATAGATAGTAAGATTATAATTAGATCTCAGCCTTTCACTTATTCTATAGCTTTTTTTTGAAATTTTTTTTATTTAATTTTGAAAGTTTGAAGTTTGTAAATTTGAAAATTATAGAAATTCACAGTCTTCTCTTCTCTTGTTTTTTTAAATATATATATATATATATATAAGATAAATGTTAAAGATGGATATCTGGCATTCTTAAATCTCGTCATTTTTTCGTTACTTTAGATTGACATCAACTGACGACCATGCTTATAAAATAAAGATTTCGACAGAAAATAATTAGTTTCTCTACAACAATGTGTGAATGGTCACAATTTAAAACAAAAAAAATCAGAAAAAATCATGCAAAAAGAACGAAAAATTGCAATTACAAANGTAAGATCTATCTTAGATTTGCATTTTTTTAAAGTGATACTTACACAATCAATACTTAGTAGGATAACCCTTATTTTTTAAGACAGCTTCACAGCGTCTTTTCATCGAGTGAACGAGTGTTTGGAGTTCATCTTTCGTAATCACATGGTGCCAAGAATCAATTATAGCTTCAATAAGTTGTCTTTTATTGGATGGGCATTTTTTTTGTACAAGAATTTTTAAACGTTGCCACAAATTTTCAATTGGATTGAGATCAGGACTGTTTCCTGGTCATGGTAATATATCCATGCCTTTATTTTGAAACCATGTTTTGCATACTTTCGCTGTGTGGTATGGAGCTGAGTCCAGCTGAAAAATAAATGATGCGTTGTTGGGGAAGAGATCCCTGATGGAAGGTATCAATTTTGGTTTCAGGACAGTTTCCGTGTATTTTTTAGCATTCAGGATGCCATCAATCACTTGAATTCGGCCCACACCATCTGCAGACATACATGTCCAAAACATGACATTTGTTGGGTTTTTTGTAGTTGCTTCAATGCAATCAGGATGAAGTGCTTCACCTATTCTACGTCTCACGTATTTTCTGCCATCACTACCAAAGAGCGATATTTTACTCTTATCGCTCCAGATTACTTGCTTCCATTGATTTTCTGACCATTTAATGTGTTCTTTTGCCCACTTAACTCGTTTTCCGCGTTGATTTTGATTTAAATATGCTTTTTTTACTTAGAATTCTAACTTGTAGTCCAAATCCTGATAACCTTCTTCTTATTGTTATTGAACTTACTGCAATACCCGCTGCATTCATTTCAAATCTAATGGCATCTGATGAAATTTTTCTATCTTGAAGGCATAGCCGTTTCATTTTTCTATCAGCAGTAGCACTTGTGCATTTTTCCGGCCTGATTTGGCATCCCGAAGGCCAAAAAATGCATCGAAACTGTCCAGAAACCAAAATTGATACCTTCCATTAGGGATCTCTTCCCCAACAACGCACCATTTATTGTTCAGCAGGACTCAGCTCCATGCTACACAGCTAAAGTATGCATAACATGGTTTCAAAATAAAGTCAAAGATATATTACCATGGCCAGGAAGCAGCCCTGATCTCAATCCAATTGAAAATTTGCGGCGACGTTTGAAAATTCTTGTACGAAAAAACGTCCATCCAATAGAAGACAACTTATTGAAGCTGTAATTGATTCTTGGCACCATGTGATTACGAAAGATCAACTCCAAACACTCGTTCACTAGATGAAAAGACGCTGTGAAGCTGTCTTAAGAAATAAGGGTTATCCTACTAAGTATTGATTGTGTAAGTATCACTTTAAAAAGATGCAAATCTAAGATAGATCTTACTATTAGTTGCATAACTTTTTTTGTAATGCAGATATTGTAATACTGTATTTATTATTAAATTCTACATTAAATTACCTTCAACTTGATATGTAAACGTTTGTATTTAAATGAAAATTAATATATTCTATAAGCACACAAAGTTGAAAAACATGAAACTTTCAAAAAATGTCCACACTTTTGGCCACCACTGTATATATATTTATATGTATTGTCGTTGCCAGAATGTTCTCAATATCATAATGCGAAAACTATTTGGTGAATTTGTTCACACAATTATAAAAATGATATTCTGATTTTGAATTGTTATTCACGCTTGCATTGGTTTTTGATTTCTTTTCTTTTCTTTTTTCAAACACTAAGCAATTTTAGTTTGACAAAAACTTTTAGCTGTAAAATTATAATTTTTTTCTTGCTGTGACGTATTTGCTTGAAGATGTGCATCAACAGTTTCCTTTTTCTAAGTTTCGAATTAGTTTTTGTGTTTCTAAATTATTCAGTTTCTTCTTTTTTACGATATTCGGCTTTATTGATGTGAAGGAAAAACTAATCGGAGTATAATTATTGTTTTTTTTCCTTTCCTTTTTTTTGCAGCCATCTATTATTATGTCAGAAGATATGAAGGACCATAGTGCTTCTTTTTTTAAATTCTGTACTTGTTCACTTATAAAATTCCGTTTTCAGCTTTTCATTAAATTTCAAACGTATAATTCGGATATACTAACAAAAATTAGTATGTCAACTCTCCATTTTGCAAAAATAATATGATAATTTATTTTTCAGTTAAACTTTTTGTATTTTTTCTATTAGGAGACTTGGTGTTATTATTCGAGTAAATTGAAATTGAGAGATTTTTAAAATTTTCTCGGAGGTATTTTCTATTTCAGATTGTTGGATCTGCTTTACGTCAGATTTTTGTTTGTTTAGTTGAAGTTTAGCTGATTATTCTTCCTATAATTTTTCTCAATTAATGCTGTTTATTACAATAAGCTGCGCAGCCTTGTAAAATCAGTAAGATTGATTCTACAATTTTTTGCCTTATTTAAAAAAAAAAACGGATATAAATTTAAATTATAAGGCGTTACTATAATGTATTTTAAAACCAGTTGAAAAATATTAAATTCAAACCATATGAGCAGATAGATTTTTAAGGATTTCTAATTTATAAGTTTTAAGTTTGCGCGAAGGAATGAATGGAATTCATATCCCGTGCGCGTTTAAATAATACAAACACAATTTGTCGAAGCCTAGAAGTTACCTTACTCGAAGTATTCTTTACGTGGCGCTAGGTGGCGCTTTGAGCAAAAAGTGAAAAGCTAGTATTCAAATAAAGTAGGGTTAACATAAGTACAAATTGCTTTAACGAGTTTAATGGCAACAAATTGGATCGGCCGGTATTTTGCTTTTGCTCTGCAATATTTTAGTTTTACAATTAAGATAAATATTTATTTATAAAATCGCCTTCCTTTTACATAATTTCTCAAGTTAGTATAGAATTTCCGTATATATTTTAGTTAAATGCATGCAATATTTTTATGTATAAAATTTTATTCGAGGTATTGAAATGTTGTGTTTACATTGCAAAATTTTTTAGCCTCTAGTAATTGTATGTCATTTATGACTAATGAAACTTCTTATCGTTAAAGTAGTTAGCTGATTTTGTATTTGATCAAATTTTTGTCCCATAATTTTTGTATTTTACATTCATATTTATGTAAATTTTTTTTACATAGTTTTTTTTTTCTTTTTTATTGTAAGTGGTCAGTGAATGATTTGAATCATATTAATTGCTTGAGATATACCGGGTATATTTTAATTAACTAGTATATGGCCAGAGATTTTCTTACCCGCTGTTTACCCAGACCCTGCAAAAGAATTTTACAACAAGGAATCACTTATTCAGCACAGCTATATTTAGAATAACAACCTTAAATTATTCAAGCATGCAATTTTGGGAATCCATGCATTCCATCAGTTTCTTAACAATCAAGCTGAAATAACTGCTTAAGCATAACTGTGCAAAATTTTAATTTAGAGAAACCCTTTAAAATGGACAACTTTGCGACAGAGAAATACATTCGCTAAGGAGCTGCTTTAGAGTTTTCTGCTAAAAATTTTATTAAGTAGTATGAAGAACATAAAATTTCTTCCATGAACTTTACATTAACCCTTGCATTTTAATTATATATCTTTTTTTAACGAAAAATCTGGTTTCACTAGAATAATATTATTATTAGAATATTAATTTTTTTAAATTTAAGTTTAATTCTCTCAGCAGAACAAATAAAATTGGGCGTAACTTTAAATTATTGTTAAATTGATGTTTTTCTCTGATGCAATTTTTTAAAGCTTTTTGAAGTGACTATTTTCTTGAGTTTTTTCAGGTTCTTTTTTTGTTGTTTCCAATGCTCTTCTTTCTACATACCATTTACTAATGCCTGGACGTTCAAGGTGTCTACAATATTGAAGTATACCTTAGATAAAGACTGTATTTTCAGAGCGTTTAAATTTTATGTTTGCCGTATTTTGAACTAGATATCACATACAGTATATATGTAATGTGACATAATCTGACTGACTAATGATATGTTCACGAGTATTCAATGTAACAGTATTTGACTCTAACGAAGTATAAATAGTTCAAAAATTAAATTCGTAAAACGGTGAGCGATAGACACAAGTGGTTTACATATTTTAATTGCATTAAAAAATTTATTGGAAACTTAGATACCTGCAACTTTTTAAAATTCGTTTATCAGTGTAATTCAATTTGCAAAATAGTTTGTGTTGTTAGAAAACTTAAAAGTTACTCTTGTTACAAAATTAAATTTAGAGTAACTGCAGATAAATTGTATGGATCAGTTTCAAACCATTGACCTTTCTAAATACAGATATCCATATAAATATTTCTTGATTTTAGAAATATCAAAAGTGTTTGTTTTTTATTTTTTTAAAAGTGCTAATTTTTCATTGGGAGTTTGTAAAAGGAGCTTAATTTCCTTGTTTTGGTAAAAGGAATTTTTATCACCATTTGCTTTTTTGCTGTGAATTACACAAAAAGCGTGGTTTTCTCAACAGTGTTATTCATTATGATCAGCTTTAACATATTGTCTTACATATCGTACAGACTTAGTCTTTATCGTAAGCCGGAAGAGAAAGAAATTTAGTTACTGGTCCTACTGACCTGTGACTAAATTTACTTGATTTCAGTCCCAATTATTAATGTCATTGATGTTTCAATAATTGTGATAATAGGTACATTTTATAGGTAATAAGTTTTTACGACTAATTTCAGGGGTTCAGTACTTAGATAACTATAATTTTTGTTTATCTTTTTTCTTTCTTTCTTTTTTCATTTTATGTTTGTTAAAAACGAATTTATTTCTTTTAGTCCATCAAAAAATGCCAGAAGCCAGAACATCAATGATTGATCTACAAGTTGATCCTGCCATATTAGCTGATCCAAGTAAATAATTTTTTTTTTTTAAAAATATAATTTGAGATAGAGATTTTTTTGTCATTTATGCACATTTTGTTGATATCCTTGATCTTTGGTCAAGAAATTTTTTTAGAAGATCTGTGTTGTGTAAAAAATGTATTTTACTTTATCATTGAATTTAGAGCATTAAAATTTTAAAAAGTTAGACATTTTAAGGGGTGACACGAAGGTTTAGTTACATTGATTATTTTATGCAGACACATTAGTTTATTAAATAAACTTTATTTGTATTATATTACTTTTAAGTTTTTAGGATGGTTTTGTTCATGTAAGTAGTACTGTTATTCAGAATAGTTAAATTTGTTTTGAGAACAGTAAATGCTCCTTTAAAATTTATATAGTAATAATATAGAGTAATTAATAATAATAGCTGAATATAGTAATTATCTTTAGAATAATTCGTGCTTTATAGTAATCAGAAAGTTTAATAATAATCCTAAAGTTTAATAAAGACAGAGCATTTTTATGTTAAAAATATACAATTCCAATTATTGTTTCTTAATTATTGCATCAAAATTATTGCATATTAAATTAAAATTAAATTTGCACATTAAAATTATTGCAATTAATTATTGCATATAATTATTGCATCAAAATCTTCACATGCTCAGAAAGTCTTTACTTATTCATTTTCATGAAAGCATCCGATAAATATGAAAGTATGCTTTGCTTTTCATCCCTTTCTAAAATTGTGTAACACAATTTAAAACAAAAAGTGCTGCCATTATGATAATAGGTGAGCTGTAATCTGTCTGCTTTATCGACTTGCCCTACCTATTTTACTATATTAAATTATTTTAGTCTTTTTTTTATTCATTTATTTTATTATCTTTGGCAAAATAGTATTAGTTTCTTTCTCATAGTACGCCACAGATCTCCCTTGTCAGAGTCTGCAGACTTTTTTTGCACTATATTTTTAGTATTCAAAAAATGAATTGAAAAATTGTACTTAAAAAGAATATATCATGTGCTTATTGATACAAACCTGTATTAAATAGCTTTAAACATGTAATGATAATGCTTTTCTTTTTTCTTTCTCTTTATAGTTAGCCGTCTTTTTTTATATTTTTTCGTATATTGTGAATTTTGTTGCTCTGTTATTTTATTATTTAAACTGTAATTGTAAGTTTAGTTTCATTTAATAGAAAATATTAAACTGTTTTTTTTTTCTTTTTTAGCTAAATGTTCTGAAGTCATAAAACAAGTTGAAGAAGTTTTTCAGCCCCTATTTATTTCTAAGAAGTCTGAAACAGTGCTCGGGGATTCCCATTTAGTTGTTTTTAGCAATGAAGATGGAACGTTAGTATTAAAAATATTTTCCTTCATTTTTTTCCCCCAATGTTATATCAATTTATCAAGATCATCAATTTTAACCAATATATATATATATGTATTTTTTTTTTTTTCAGTCTTACATGTATTTTTAAAAGTTATCCCTTTGGCTTAGTTACCATCACTTTTGAAGATTGTTTGGAGGAATCTAAAGAATTTACTAATCCAGTTTGTATTATTGTTTTAAACTTAATATTTTCTCTAAGTAATGTATATTTTGTATTGAAGCAAAGATGTAGAAATTTATTACTATTTGTTTTTCTGTCCTAGAAATTAGAAGATATACGAAAAAGTCTTCTGCAGCATATAAAATGTAAAGCTGAAAAGTACGTAAAATTGTTTTCTATCATAAAAAAAATAAAAAAATTCTTCAATTGTATTTCTATTAAGAAAATATGTATTTCTATTAGTTTTTCTCTTCATTTACATTGTTGCCATCTCTATTTTGAGTTTAGCAAAACATCAAATAGTATTGCTATGTATAAAACATAAAAAGGGGAAAAGACCCCCCCCCAAAAAAAAATAAATTTCATTGTTATTATAACTATTTGTAAATTTCCTATATTATATTATCTTATTACTAGTCATCTTATGTGTCACATTTATATTCACTTATGACCTTGCTATTCTTGATTGTCGTTGCATGCTGGTAATATTATAATTTAGCAGATTATACCATAATAAAAATTATAGTTAAATTATAGTGTATAATAAAAATACAATTATATGAGATTCATTACTTTAACTCATATTGAGAGTTTAGCTGCATTGAAAACATAAAAAATTAAGACGCATTAGCCAGACTTCACACTATATTTCTAACGCACTGTAAAGCCTGAATTACTTAAAAAGTTAAAGATGTTGAATTTTACAGGATGCTTGACTTTCCTCAGACCTAATTTAAAAAAATAAAAATACCTGTTATTATTTTTGACTTAATCAAGAAGAAAGAGTACACAAATCATAGCATCTTTTAAGTTTAAGTAAGTGCAAAACCAAACTTCAGAGAAAAGTTACTTTATTTTAAAGTTTAAATTGTAATTAGGCAGTATAATAACTATAAATGTTAATTCAGATTAATTTGATTCTTTACAATTTAAATCTATTTAGTTCTTCTTTCATAAATCTTTGAGTTCATCTTCACAAATCTAAAATCAATGTGATGGTGTTTCATTAACTTGTGTTGCAATCCTACTTTTTTATCGTACTTCTTTAATCTATTTATTTAATATATTATGAAAAAAATGTAATAAATAATGTGTTTCATTGAGAAGGTGGGAAAATTAAATAAAAACTTTTTTCTTAAGTACATGTAAATTTCTAGTGAAATAGTTTTTTTAAAATTTTTTATTACATGGTGTGTATACAAATTTAAAGTATTTTAAGTTTAGATCATAATAACTCATTATAAATTATTCCATTATTATTTTTTCTTTAAATTTTTGAAGTATCAAGAGCTATATGGTTTGAAGTTTTCATGTATCAATCATGAAATCATTCGTAGTTTTTATGTTTGAATCATTCATAGTTTTCATGCATGAAATCGTTCATAATTTTTATGTATGTATATATCTATTTATTTTTTCTTTTTAGAATACCTATTGTTAAAAGAGGATCTGCTGTTCCTTTATATTTTACTACTGCAGATGAGCGTATTTTAGAATATGATTTTGATAAAGTTATTTTTCTTGAAGATTCTCCTTTTCAAAATATAAAAATACTTCATTCTCCAACTCTTGGGAACTGCTTGCTACTTGATGATTTGCAAAGTTAGTCAAATTAAATTGTCTTGTTTGCTAGTAAATTAAAGAAGTGACTGTTAGTGAATTTGATACATAATTAATATATTGATAAAATCAATACTTCTCTTAGTGCTTTTGTTTATATTGTAAGTTTAGTATAAAAGTTATAAAATAAATTAAAATTGAATGTGATCATTAGATTTCTTATTCAGCGTTTTATAGCTCTTTTATGCTTCATGTTTTAAAAAATATTGTTCTTTTCCTTTTTATTTTTAACTATAGATATTTTTCAAAAATTTTACATTTGCTTCATAAGTTTTAATGCATAGACTTTGCCGTTTTTAAAATTTATCTGTTTTAAAAAAAAAAAAAAAAAAAAAAAAATTTTTTTTTTTTTTTTTTTTTTTTTTAATAAGTTGATAAGCAATTTTAATTTTTTTTTTTCCCATCTTTAAATGAGAAAAAACATTTGTGTTATAATAAAATTCGTATAATAATATAATTTGTACTAGTGACACAAAGGTCGATCCAGGCGGAAATCTTAGGGTTATTTTGTGACCTCTTCACAAAATTTAATTTAAAATTATCAATCACAATTCAAATTAACTTGTTTTTAAAATCTGCAATTGTGAATTGTATTCTCCTATTTTTTTAAAATCAATATTGTGGTTAATCTTCACGTGACATAATTATATTATTAAGATTACAATTCGTATAGCCATTTATCAAAAAAGTGGAGGATCCCTCCCTCTCATCATTGGTATGCGGCCAAGGAACCGGGCTCTTCACTTGTTCATGTAGGTGATAGAGCATCTCAAACAGCTATTTCCAGACTGGCAAGCAGACACACGAACAGTCTCTCGTACTTTAAAGGAAAAAAGACTTATGCAGTCTGCTCTAAATGTGAAGCCCAGCAGGCCTCAGCAGAACATATCCTCGACTGCTTGGGCCTTTCCAAGGAGGACTTATATGCTTCTCCACTTCTTGTAATCGACTTTTTGAGGGTCAACGACTTACTGGATCTTGTCTGACCTCGTCAGACAATTAGAGGATAAGCAACAACAACAACAATTCGTATTTGTGCAATTTTGATTTGTTTCTACACGATTTAAAGAAATTAAACATAGTAATTCGTATTCACATGATTTTAAATTACTCATCAAGGTTTAAAAATCACACGTCGTGATTTGTATTCTTGTGTTTTTAAAATTCAATATTGCGATTAGTAATCACATGATTTTAAAAATCAACTAGCACATTTCGTATTTGCACCTATCTTTGCATCTTGTTTTCTATTCAGATCATATAAAAATCCATCTTTTATCTACTGATTGAAGTTATAGACATTTTAAAGTTAAAAGTTCAGTTGTATGTCTAAAATTTTAATGCTTGTGTTTAAACAGATTTCAATTGCTATTTATCAATAAAAAAGTCCAATAAAAGGAAGAATTTGCAGAAGAGCGTTTTCCTGCCCTGTTTACTTGATTATTGTTTATGTTGTACAGTTTTGCATGATGTACAGTGCGCCGAGAAAAAAAGGACCACTCTGAATAACTTTTGATCTAATGAGGTAATCTTTCTTTAATCTTTCAGGTTCTAGGTCTCTATCTTAATGGTTCGAGGGGGTAACCTCGAGTATGCTAGCTACTTAGTGCAGACAATATTTTAAGATACGAATTCAGGCGTACTTAAAATATTGTACTTTCATACACAGGGTTCCCACGGTCCTTGAAAGTCCTTGCATTTTTTTTTTGCTAAATTTAGGTCCTTGAAAGTGCTTGAAAAACGTCTTAGGTCCTTGAAAAACTTGATAGGTCCTTGAATTTGTCCAATACTGCCGGCGGAAAACTGCAGAAAATATTTTGTCCTCTTTTTACAAATGCATGGATGATGGTTAAAAGCTCTCTAAAATACTTCAATTATCCATGGATGGACCCTATGTCAATTGGAAATTCTATTAGAAGCTTCAGTGTGAATTAAAAGAGAAATATTCCCACCAGGTCATATTCATTGGCAGTTGTGGATTACACATAACGAATAATGCTTTTAAACATGGTGAAAATGGGATATGTTCCTTCAAATTTTTATTTTCAGAAAGAATTGTTGCTGCATAACATTTAGAGAAGGTTGTGTAAATTATGGATAAATAATTTCAGAAACGATGTTTAATAGAGGAGAGGGGGGTTATGGAATAGTCATGGAATATGGAATACCTAAGATTTAGCTCTGTCTTTCATGCAGCCTTCACATGGAAATACACAGGATTAAAGGATTTCACCATTAACACCTCATTACCATTAGTGCTGAAAATGATTGTGCTGAATATGATTTTGTGAATTAACATGTAAAACCAGTAGGGTTGTTTTTAAAAAAATATAAATTTTAGTCCATAATACATATACTCTCTTCTCTCTATATAGGCAAAGCATTTAGGTATTATATTTGAAATTAATTATTGCCACAACAAGCATTGTTGCTTCTAGTAAAATAGAAGAGAATAATTTTTAATATTGGTCTTAGATTAAGGTCCTTGAAAAGTCCTGGAAAGTCCTTGAATTTCAATCTCATCATAGAGTGGGAACCCTGATACAAAAACTTACTTTCTCTGAATAAATATATCCTTTTTTTTGACAGATTCAAATTTTTAACATCCAAAATATAAGGGGTAGCAGCCATCCTGGAAATATGGTTCAATTAGTTTGGTCAGGAGTACGACCCAAAGTTTGAACTCCTTAATGTTAACTTTTCTTTTTGCATATTTTGCTACATCCCGAACATTTTAAGCAAATAGAAAAATTTATGTACACAATTATAAAATTTGTTAATTCAAAGATAATTCTTTGCAAAAAATAAATTTCAGTATATATTTAATATTTAATTTATATAATAGTTGAAAAAATTTTTAATTGTAAGGTATAAAATTTTTTACATCTTTTTAAAGTATCTAATTTTACATGTCAAAATACAAAATTTTAGCAAAATCAATTAACTAGTTTTAGAGAAATCGAATTTTTAAAAAAAATTTATAGTTGAAACTCGATTTCTCAGGAACTATGCAACCGATTTTGTTCAAAATTTGTATTTTGCCATGTAAAATCACATACTTTAGAATGATGTAAGAAATCGTATACCTTTTTGACCATTAGTAAATAAAATGATAGATAATTTCTGAAATTTATTTTTTGCTTTTGCATTTTTTTTAGTTTTAGATAAAAAAATTTTAAAATTGTGTGCAAAAATATTTCAATTCACTTAATAAGTTCTTGAGATTTGGTGAAATATACAAAAAGTAAAATTAACATTAAGCAGGGATGTGATTCTTCCGCGAATTCACGGATTTCCGCTTTTTTTCAGATTTTTCCATTTTTTTCACTAATTTCCGCATAAATTTTTTTGCACAAGTAAAAATATTTTATGAGGAGTTTAATTTTCCTCGGAGCATAAGTATTGAAGTCCTCATTCCCTCCTCTGAAGTTTCTGTAAAAATCTTTTCCTAGGGATAAAACTGGTTGACCTTTTTCATTAAGGGATTCTCATTAATTCGGAACTTTGGTTCGCTCTTTTGACCAAACTATGGAGATCATATTTCCCAGATTGCAGTTATTTTCTAGATTTTGGGGATTAGAAATCTGAATCTGACGAAAAGAAGGTATGTTTATTCAGAGAAAATATGATTTGTGTCAGATTTTGTAACTTAAAACATTATCAGAACTAATTAATTAGCATATTTGAGATCATCCCCTCAAATCATTAAGATAGAGTCCTAAAACATGAAGATCCAACTATTAGATAAAAAGTTATTTAGGGTGATCGGTTTTTTTTTGTTGCTCACTTTGTATATGTGTTATCCTGTGGACAACTAATTATCTCCAAACCTTTATTTGATATTATGATCTAGCAAGGAATAAAATTTTTTAACAAATCATTGTAAAAAAAATTTTCTTAGTATTTTATTAACTGCATATACTTATTTCGAAATATTTTAATTAAACATAAAATATAGTGATTGCTATATTTATATAATATTTTTGTTAAACATAAAATATAGTTAAGAAATTTTTGCAAAAATAATTTTCATTTTTCATAATGTTTCTCAAAAATAGGCCTTAAAAAGAAATTCTGGATCGACCCCTGGATACAATTTTCCTATTTGAATTCAATAATTATTGAAACCGTAATTACTCATTACGTCAGTTACGTATATAATTTATTGAACTATTTCTAATTCTGGTGTAATATTCACGAAATATTGAAAACTCTTTTAGTTCTTAATCTTTAAAAGGACGTAAATATCACTTTGTATTTTTTTAACTTTGAAATGGTCTATTTTTTGCCTTTTGTTTGTAACAGCTTAGTAAGCATTACTTAATCTTACATTACTAGCTGCTAGAAAATATTATAAAAAGTAGAAACATCATTAAAAATATGTTCAAAATTGTTAATGCAAGACAAATTAAACTTGTCTTTTGTAATTATTTCTTTTTTCTTCTATGTAATTGATATTATTCTTTATTTGTATACAGATTTAGCAGAAAGTGATTTAAATTACACAAGGGGTGTAATGAAGTATGGTACAATTCCCTATGCAGGAAAGGATGTCCTTATTCTTGGAGGAGGAGATGGTGGTTTGTTACATGAATTACTGAAAGAAAAACCAAAATTTGTTACAATGGTTGATATATCCTTTCTATTGTATATGATTTAAAGTTGCAACATATTGCTGTAAATTTTTTAGTGAGTTGTCATGCATAAGTAGTTAGATATTATTGTTATTTTAAATTGATTATTGCTTTTTAAACTAATTTATTGTAAAATTATTTAACTTAGAGGATTTTACTAAATTTATATATATATATATTTCTTTATCTTTAAAAATATTCTAAAAGCAATTTATGATGTTAAACCTCGTTATTAGGGTATCCTGCCTGTAAACGGAAAATTTTTTTGGCACCAAGAATGTCCGCTTAACCGAGGTTTCACTGTGTGTGTATATACATATATATATATAACCTAGATATGAGTTTAAGATAATGCCATTATATTAAATGTAAACATAATTGGATTATGTTTTTATTCTTTAAGGAATTATATTTACTTGAGAGCTTTAGAAGTTTATAAAGATACATAAATAAGAATACAATAATATACAATTTTTATTACAAGAAAAAAAAATTGAGATGACTGATTTTGAGCACTTCATACATCTTACATATCTCTCATATACTTTTTACACATATCTCTTTAATGACTTTGGTATCTGTGAATTTCTACAAGAAGTCTGTCAATGTCTTAAGTTAGAGCAAACTCGTAGCTCTTGAATTTCACGATAACTTAGCTTTTTTTTTTATATAAATTTTTTTCTAAATGTTTCTTTTCATTAATTTCATTTCTCCATTTATTAGATAATACTATTTTTTCTCAAATGTCCAAATTTTCCTAACTATTCAAAATTTTTCAAGATACTGCTTGTTCTCATTCTTTTTTTGTTTCTTAGTTTTTTTAATAAATTTAATTCTGTTTATTGATTTACCAAATAACATAAACTATCATAAATATTAAGAAATTTGCTTAGCCTTTTTAAAAGGCAAGTTTTTTTTTTCTGTCCGTCAGATATTAAATAATAGTTTTTTTAGCCTCTTTTATACTCTTTCAAAAAGACATATATTTAAACAAATATAGCAAGTCTATTTAACAAATTATTAAAATTTGGCTGTTTATAATTTAAAACAGATCAAACATATCGAAACTTATTTTTCCTTGTAATAATAAACTTTGTTTTTATTGAATACATTTTAAAAGAATTTCATTGTTATGTATCCATTTAATTGCATGTTGAAAGTATTTTTCTTAATTGGGCCACATTGACCAAATGGTTATAGATGCCTGTCGATTACATTTAAGAGGCTGTTGTGGTGATTCTTTAGACAATTTAGAAGGTCCAAATTATAAAGTAAGTATTTATTTAAATAAATTGTTAATTGATTAGAACTTATTAATGTAGTAGCTATATGAAGACTTGGAAAAAAATTAATGTAAATAAAACTTACAGAAATAATGTTAGGTCAATTTGTGCTGTCACCATCAGAAGTGCTAAACTGCATGTTCTGGCTACTCTTGATATTTTTAGTGCTTATGAAATAATAGTTTTTTAATGTATTTAAAATTTTAATAGCATTCAAAACATCACAATATGTTTACTAAGTCCTAGATGTACTTGTTTGATTTTAAAAAAAAGTTTCAGCAGCTAAATTATTTAAAATCTGATGTAAATATTTAATATCTCTCTCAATTATTTAAATCACTCTAAATGTTAGAGAAAACTTTTATGGATTTTTGCTGGAGAAGTTGGTAGATAGACCAGCTCTATAAATTAGCATTGCTTCAGGAGCTGTATTAGTATTGTATTTCTCGATATCTTTTAGTATGCGATCTTGTATTTATTTCCTTATATTATTTGCAAGGGAGTAAGTAACCTTAGTTTGTCACCAAGTGATTTAGGCTCACGTTTTTGTGATGTTAAGATAATTTATTTTGGTCATTTTTATTAAAAACTGTTATGTGTTATGCAATAGAAACGAAATTCATACTGTTTTTTAAAGGATAATAAGATTTTTGTTCCCTATAGTAACAAGAAATAATAACTGCCTTTTTTTTTTGAATTTGTGCCTTTTGAAACTTTACCAACTTTTATTTTCAACAAATTTTTTATAAATTTGTTAGTGATTATCTTAAAAATTGTCTTCTTTTTACATATAAATTAAGAGCACTAAAAATTTTAAGTGCATCTAATTCGTCACACTAAATGAGTTACTCTGAAATTTCATAAGAAATATTTTTATCATCAATGTTTGAGAATTTTATTTAATTTGAAAATTTGACATAAATATAATATATTTTTGCATGCTACATTATACTTTTAGCTGTGTCCCCTGCTTGCTGCATTCCTAACTCTAAATTGCTTCGCAGTCTTGGTTTCTTGTTTTGAAACAGAAATTTCTTTGAAAACAGAATTTTATTCCATTTTATATGTTTTATTAATCCCCTGATGAAATAATGATCTTTACCCTATTTTTTTTTGTAATTTTAAATCTACTCAGAAGACAAGTATTAGAACAAACACATCTTCAGTGACTTTTGGTGCAAATCTTAACTGGCTTCTGCATTTCAGAGATTGGGAAACTACTGAAATTTCCCAAAGGCAATAGATCTATGACCTTTGATGTAGTTGCCTTTGAGTATAGTTTTTGTTAACAGTCTAGCTTATGTAGAGAATTTATTTATTTAAGGGTAGCATAAATTTCTATCGTGATTTTTTGTTAAAAAAAATTACAGCTTTTTACTTGCATTGCAACTATTTGCTAGTCTCATAAAAAGTATGTCTAAGCTTGGCACTTACGTTACTTGCTTTATGCTTTTTTTGTGTGTAATATTTGTATATTTTGTAATAAAAATGAACTATCTTTATAATAACTCATTGATCAAAAATTTAGTAGGATAAATGATAGAAATTGATCATTTTCTGTATTTTTTGATGTAATATATTTCCAGCTGATTTTGCGATAATATTTAAAAGAGTTTAATATTGTATAACCAAAAGCCAAGAACCCTTATCTGTTTAAGATTTATTTTATGAGTAAATTGAACATTACTAATTTCAAATATAGTTATCACTATCTTTAAATAGTTAATTATTTCTTGAACTTCTATACTTGATTCTTTTTTAAAAACTAGCTCCTCAATAATTTGTATTTCGTAATTCAACTTGTATGATAATAACTATCCAAAGTATTGTTTCTAGTATTATATGTGGCTAAATAATTTGAAAATGTTTGTGCTCGATGTTAGCATTGCGTAATTATTTATTATGAAACTCGTTAATTATTATCTTTTTTTCTTCTTCTTTGCTTGCAACATCAGCAAAGGATGCTTATAATATAAATATTTCTAGATATAAATTACGTGTCCTACTTTTTTTTCAGCAAAGAATATATGGTCATTCTTAAAATGAAAAGTGTGAAAAGTTTTGAAAAAAAAAAAAAATATACTCTTTTTGAAGTGCAAAAGCCGTCAAATAATTTGAAATCATTTTGTTTCACTTTTCTTCTTTACCTATAGTATTAATATTGCATTTGTCAGGTAAAAAAAAAAGGAGGAATATAACCTGGATATCTTATTTCTTTGAAGGTCTGTTAATAGGATGATTCTATTACTACAGGGTGCGTAGCGTTTGTAAAAAGTACTTAAAGGTGCTTTTTTGGGGATTTCGTTTTTAAAAGCTTTTAAAGGTGCTTTTTTCAGCTGGCGTTTTTAAAAAATGCTTTTTTTTTCCGAATAATTATTTTTTTCCCCTTCAGTGATATCTGGTGGATCCCTTGCATTTCACGAAAAATGGGGAGTTTGGTACGTGATCATTCACGCGGACTTCATGTCGTACCCACGTTATGACTTGCGCATGCGCGCACACTTGAAACCGAAACCCGAGTACTCCAATTCGGATAGAGAATATCAGATCCTTATGAAAT